CCTCCCAGCTTCTTGTGCACCTCCAGCCTTCTCAGTCAGTAGAGCGTGGGAAGCCGAAAAGTCCTTGACCAGTGTAAGCACTACCTAGCAACAACTAAAACATCGGTGTGTTACCAACATCGTTCTCATCCTAAATCCAAAACACAGCACTCTAGCCCTGCCGAAACGAGGACAGACACCAACTGCCAAGTAAGTGCTGCATATATAAATCTCAGCTAGCTCAGGAGTAGGAAAGTCAGTTTAGGTAAGACTGAAACATGACAGCCAATGATATTGCCACATGCCTTGCTTTTTTTCCCCAAATCCTACATTATTTAAAATTTTTAATAGGTGATTTGGTAAAGAAAACAGATTGTAATTATCTGATGAGGTATTTCCAAGTCAGAAGCAGATATAAAATGAAAAGTGTATCGTATGCTGTTTGTCAAATGAAGGCGCACATAATTCTTTCTAGATTGTCTACTGCAATTTTTCTTAAGAAACACCTGAAACTAATTTGCATCATTTCTAAATGGAAGTTTAAATTTGCCATAATGAAAGAGTTGTGAAGTTTAAAATAATGAAGAAAGGAGTACATTTAACACTTGCTGAAAGAATATTAGAATATTGAAGGAATATTGAAAATCTGAAGCCATTAAGCGGCTGCAGAATAACAATCTTTGTTTTTACAGAATTGGTAAGTGTGTGACAAAATGAATCAAATTTTGATTACATCTTTATCAGCAAAGATTCTCCCTAAGTCCTGATGAAAATGTTTGTAGTCTAACACCTCAAGGAAAAAAAAAAGGCTGAACTTAGAAACTTCATATTCAGTTATTTTTATGGAACACAAGTCAGACAAACAGTGAGCCAAGTTTTTAGAAAATTGATTCTCTACTTTCACACTTGGAATTTTAAAGTTGGCAAGACTTTCAAAAAACACATGCTAAGTTTGGATGGCCACAGTAAAAGAGCTCTGGAAAAAAAAATGATCTGTTGATAAAACTGGCTGGTAAATTATGCCATGTAGGAAATCTCCTATGAAAGTGGAGATTAAACCTTCAGAGTAAAGAAACAATCTTCTTTGAACATGACTTGATTTAGTGGAATGCCTACCATTGTCTGCAGAACAAAGGAAAGCGAAATTTTGAGGTCGGAACCTCTCTGGTGCCTCACGGATGTGCAGCAAGGAGCAGAAGCTTGTTTTAGCACATACTCGTACAAGTGGAAGGAACAGTAAGGCAAGTGAAAGGTGAAGGAGCACCAAGCCCTCTGACTTCTGCCTTTTTTTTTTTGGTTAACCGTACATGAAATTTGTGGCTGAGGCACAGCAAGATAGTTTTAAATCCATAGTACTGTATGATTTTCAAACCGTTTGTCAGGACTGAGTCTTTCTGCCTGAGTAATTGTGATCTGTCTTAGGCCAAGAACTGGGAAATACCTGTCCAGAAAAATACAGGAAACAGACATCGATCTTTTTTGTTTTTCCTTGTAACAGGGAGATGCATTGCATAGGAAACGTGGGGAATAAATCTACTGCCTCCTTGGCCATCTCCCCAAAAAAGGGAGGTTTTGCAGGTGAAACACAGAACTAGCAGTCCCATCCCTCGAAGTCTGCACTACAGATTGTCCCCAGCAGTGCATGTCCTGCAGTAAAACGATTTCCAAATTTATAATCTGATTTCGACAGAGCTGCAATGGATTAACATTAAAATGACTCATTGCATCACTATTCAACTGTTAAAGATACCTAAATGAGAAGAGAAGAAGGTTTCTTAAAAAAATGAAAGGCAGAACATAAGTCCCATTCAAAGTAATAACAATAATCACAGAATCACACCTGGGAGTCTAATTTGCCCCTGAATTCACAAATAAAATTATTATTTTTTCATTTAGCAGTAATCTTTATTAAATACCACCATTTACAATTAAAAGCATAATCGTAACTGAAGAGAAAGAAACCTTTAAAGTAAGATCTGGAGATAAAGTGTTATTCAAAGGTTGTGAGGGGGAAAAAGGCCATGAGAGAGAATTTTTGATAGCTGAAGAGCCTGAGTAAACAAACCCACTGTCGGAGTGAGGAAGGGGAAGCCAAGAGGAGAAGGAAAAGTGTGAGCTGGTAGCGGAGTAGGGGCATGCTGGGTCAGCAAGACAGTGGGAAAAATGCATAAAGAATTTAAGAGGATTTTATTCATCCTTTACAAGTTAGGTGTGTTTGTTAGAAACTGATTAAAATAGGGCGATATATAACGGAAAAGATTATATTTCAGTAGTTTGATAGGTTGTTGTATAGGCAATATATCCATTAATTATTTGAGCACTTTCAATCAAAGATTTCATGCATGAAATAATGGAGTTTACATGGTTCACAGAAACAAAGATATACATAGGTAGATGCAGAATACAGAATATAAAAAATGCACCAGAGAAACCTCAGCGTTGTGAGTGAGCCACCAATTAACATGCTGTCACTTTAAAGATGCTTAAAGCCTCCTCCTTCCCCATGCCACTAAAGGATTTCGCACACTGCTTCCGCAGTAGTTCAGCTGAATTTCTTGCAAGATCAAGGCCTTTGCCAATAAAGTATATCTATATCAGTACTATCTCAATGATCATTCTTCTTAGTAGAGCAGTAAGTATATTTTCATCTTCTGCTAACTACACTGCCTACATAAGCAAACTCCCATTCAATCATGTGGACAGGTGCTAAATAAAGTTGAGAACTTGACAAAAATGCAACAGCTTCTCCTAGGTTTGAGATTGGAGTTGAGTATGAGGTGTGGGTATGGTCAAAAACCTGAAAGGAGAGAACTCAACCAAAATCCAAACTGCAACCCAGAAAGCCTGGGGACTTCTGCTCTAGACAGCACTATGGTTTCCGCCTCCCTCACATAGGAAGACAGATGGACTCACAAACACACACATTCCTTTTATGAAGCAATCTATATGACCCATATGATCTATATGGGTCATTCTGAAGTACATTTTGATCTTACATCAAGATCATTCATCTTGATAGAAGAAAGAAATTTTTTACATTGAGAACAATCATTTACTGGAATAACTTCCCCAGGGATGTGGTAGTGTCCCTATCACTGCAGGTTTTCAAGATGTGATTGGACAGGGTGCTAGATGACCTCATCTACGCTCCCTTTCCCACAAAAAGTTGGACCAGAAGATCTTTCAAGGTCCTTTCCAACCTGGGCTGCTCTATGATTTTCAGCAAAATAGGAAATTTGCAAAATTAGAATGATAAGAGACATTTTTGCAAAGGTAAGTGTAATAATTGGGCTGAGAAAGATGTACGGGATGATCAACGCAACCTGCTACAGGACTTTCAGTTAGAAACATGCTATTTCTACCTCTTGTTGAGCTCTCCATTTGAAACAGTCATTATTCTCATTTGATACACTATGAGGATTAGAATAATGTTGATAGGTATCTCTCTCACAGAATGTTGTGAAGACTGATTTGTACACATACATTATTTCAAAAATGCAAGACAGAAGAATAATGTTATGCATTATTAGCACTGGTAGAATAGTAATACAGTTTTATATTAACTCAGCATTCCACATGCAGCTAGTAAATTGCTACTCAAAAGGTCTCTTCTCCTTCCAACGTTCCTCTCAGATTTCTTCCAACGCCCAAGCTGGTTATTGAGCAAGTTGTAATGTCATTTTAAAAGACTAGCAGGCTTCCCTAGGGGAAGAAAAATCTGAAGACAAAACATCACAAGCAAGTTCTCCCATTAAAACACTTCTATGCAGAGATACTTAGAAAAGCTGAAATAAAATGACAGTAGAGACAATGGCATTTCTGGTACATTCTCAACTGTGCTTAAAATGACCAAGAAATGTAACCCTATATAATAAAAAAGGCCAGCTTTACAAAACTGTCTCCTGATTGAATTCAAAAATACATTTGCCCGCAGTGAAAATCTACAAAACTGCAAAAATGTTTTTTTTCCCCTCACACGTAACATGTTTTTCAAGTAGAAAACACAAGAAATCATGTGCCATTAAAACTATTACTGTGATAGGTAATTACCTGAGCATCATAACCAATAGACTCCTCTATGTCATCAAAAGAAATAGAATACAAAATTAAACTTCCCATCTAGCCATAATTTAGTGTTTCATAATTAAATTTATTGAGCCCTTTTCCACATTTGATTGATATACTTTGATTTCACAATTAAAGAAAATTAAATTATTTGAAATGCTAAGCAATTTTCTCCACAGGGGTAAACTGATGTTGTCACCCTGTTTATTGTCACCCTATTCATGCTGGTAGAGAATTTGTGCTATGGATTTCCCAATCCACCTGCATCCTTCTAGTCCTTGAATAAAACTGCAGCCTTACGGAGAAATGATTAAGCACATGTGCCTTCAACTCTCATGCAACAGTTCAATCCCTCATTTTTAAGCCAGCTGGGCTCCTGTTTCATTTTAATCACCATCACCTCCTCCACCTATGGTGAAACCAGGACACGGATGACCCTGTGCCCAAGTGAAACGAACTCTTCCGAAACCAGGACTGTCTTCTGGCCAAGTATTTTATTTACATCTCATTGAACTATTAGGCATTTCAGTTCCCATTCAGTTCTCCCCAGTTTTTAAGGTGCTGCATTGTGCTGGTAACGCTAATGGTCCAGTGCCACCGCTCCCGCACGCCTGGTGCCACAGGTTTGAAACACCACAGAAGTGTTGTCTTTAGCCACGAAAGTTCCAGATCATGCTCTCTGTACTGGACTGATCTGACTGATCAAAATGTTGACTGCAGAGAAAAATCCTCAGGTAATTGGACACAGAGATCAGCACCTAAGGCAAAAAAATATATAGAAATAAAGATAAACTGGGTAGTGACGGAGAACGCAAGGAAGATGGAGGCTGGAGCACAGGCCCTGTGAGGATGGGCTGTGGAGCCTTGCTGGAGGGGGCCATGGCTTGGGGGACCTAATAGCTAACTTCTAGTACCTACAAGGAGGTTATGGAAAAGACAAAGTCAGCCTCTTTACAGCAGTGCACAGCAGGAGGGTGAGTGACAACAGTACATCAAGATTAACTGAGGTTCAGATCGGATATTTGGAAAGACTTGTTCACCATGAGGACAGTCAAGCAGTGGAGCAGGTTGCCCAGAGAGGCTGTGTGATCTGCATCCTTGGATGTTTCCAAGAGCAGACTGGATAAAACCCTGAGCGACCCAGTCCGGAGTCAGTGTCAACTGTGCTTTTAGCAGAAGGTTGGACGACAGAACCAAAATCAGGAACAAGTCTGTAGCCTCAGGGCATGGGAAAGGCTGGAAAACGAGCCAGGCAGGGGCACGAGCACGTGCCTCCTGCAGCAACATACCTTCTGGAAACAGGGATTTTATCTAGGTTTGAAGGAGTACGAAGAGAGGAACCTTGCATAAACAGTTTGAATAGTTTAAACAACTTACTTTTAAGGCAATACTAAGCAATACAATTCTAAGCACTAAGAAATAATCTCAAATTCTTTAGAATTTTATTAGGTACAAAAATAATCAAGTTATAGAAATGTATCCATGTTCAAAGATAATCACTTTAAAGAGTCCACAATTGAATAAAAAAAATGTAATACAAAAGTTTACTATACAATTTAAAGTCATCGTGTGTAAGTCTGGGTTTTTGCTGTGTAAGTTCTACCTGAAAAGATTATTTTGTCTAGACAATTTTATAGGAATTGTACAGAAAAATCTCCTTCAGCCATGTTTTCTCCCAGGTCCATGACTGCCTAACGCGCACTCACACAATAGTGTCCATTTCAAAAACATACCCACCAAATTTTCCAGGCATCAGAGGTGGCTCTTTGGTTTTCTATGCAATAGTGCTACACTGGAAGTTATTAATTAGCATCATCATACACAGACTGCGGTTAAGGTGATGACATAAACAGATTTCTTTCAGATAGAAAGCATGAAGCAGTGGAACGCTCATCTGTGAAGCGGTGGTTAAAACTGTAAGAGGATACTGCCCAAAGAGAAGCACAAAGTGAAGTCAAGCCATAGACTAAGGGGCTTCCTTAGTTTGGGTTGATTCTAGTGGGATGGAGTGGTTGCAGCTCTTTGGATCCTGTATAAGCAAAGTTATCAGAAAACCAGCAGCTTTTGAGAAACCATAGTGAATATGGAGCTGAGAGACCACATGGACAACCGTCGGGGAACACAGTTCCCACTGGGAAGACAGGTCCAGAAATCACAAGCAAAGAAATTGCCTCTGTCTCTTTGTCCCTACTGAGTTTGCAGAAACTGAACTCTGCAGACTGCTGCAGGAAGAAAGGTCTGGCACAGATCCTGGGGCACCTTTCTAGGACAAACAACTCAGCAAGGTCCCCGAAGTCCCCCTCTTTCAGTCCAAAAAGAGGCAATACAAAAAATGACCCAATTCTAAAAAAGTTTGTCTTATAAATTTTGAAAGCTGTAGGTTTACTCAATGCTTGAAGAAGCCAGTAAGCTTTTTCCTGGAGTCTATTTTTCTCCAGTCCCAATACCAATATCCCCAGTTCCTCAGGAATGTTGGGATATGAATCATTAATAATTTAAAGGAAAAAGAGGAATTTTGTCACATAAAGCAGGAGGAAAAAACCCACAGATTCACTCATGTTCAAGAAATGCACAAATCCATTTGGATGTTTAGAAGAAAACTGCAATGGAAAGTGATCCTTTAAAAAACCTACGGATTTCCAGTTATGTTTAAAACACAATCTATGCCATTTCATCTTTTTTCATAGGTGCTACTGCATCACTGAGCAACAGGAGTGCAATGGGGAGTTAAGTGTTGGGGAGGAAAAGGGGACAGCGTAGGGACAACTACTCACTGTTACGACAGCTATTGATCTTGAGAACACAGGCATGGCAGCTGTACACAGTATTTTTTGGGCGATGCAGTTCATCCATCATTTACTCCTCAATGTAATCTCCAAACATACTGCCATTACCCAATTCCCACCAAGCTATGCTAAATGACTCTTTCCACAGAAGCTTTACAGGGCATGACCTGCTCCTCCTCTGCCAGCACCACAGACACGTCTCTGTCTGTTTGTAGCCCTGACAGCTTTCTACAGCCATCCTTAGCATCCTTTCAAACCAAATTCTTTCTGTCTCCTTTGGAATTGCAGGACAGGTAGACAACAGGGAAGTGGGAAGATGCTAATTGCAAATTAGCTGTGCTGCAGGTCTTCCCCACCTCACTTTTATCTCATCAGTACCTTCTCACCCCTTGCTTTTCTGGCTGCACTAGACTGTGTCTTGATTGAATTCACAAAAACGCTTGGAACCATTACTGGTGTGACAGACAAACAGCAACCATGTTCTTGGCTTGAAGAAGCAATTTTAAGTCTCTGTGTCCTAGGCGCTTCTCAATTAAAGGAGCACAAAGTGGATTTAAACACTCCCTTTACAGCACCAAGTTTTAATGCAATCAGGTTTCAGGAGATCTGTTTTCTAAAAATCAAACAACTGATTGCAAATATGGGGATACAGGGAAAAAAGGGCAATAACCTGCAGCAGAAATGCCCAGATTTCAAAGCCCTGAAAAAAAACTCAAATTACTGAATTACACCGAACAAGAACACATGAAGAGCTGTTCTGAGCCAGACCAAAGGTCTATATAGCCCTGTCCTGTCTGCAACAAAAAATATCCCCCCACCACACAAACCCAGACACACAGTTAAACAATCTTGGTAAGTGGATACCTTAAGTTAAAAACCAAGTCAATGTGCATGTGTATTAGCAGAAGCCTCTAATACTCTCCTGGGCCTCAATCCGTTTTCAACACAAACCATTCCTGAGATGCATGTCGCTTCTATGTATTTTTCATGTCTCAGTATATTCCTCTGCATTAACTCATCCAGCCTCCCCACATGAACTTTTGTCATCTATGTCACCCTCCTGCAAAGAGTTCCTGCTTGCTGTGAAGCTGGTTCCTAGTAGTTTCATTTGAAACATGCTGCCTTCTGTACTAGAAGTCATGAAACCATCCTTCTCTACCTATCCTCTCCAACCCCCCCACGATTTTCTAGATCTCTGTCATATTCATCCACCAAATCATCTCTACCAGAATTGGTTTTCTCAATCATTCCCTTGCTCTGATTATTCCTATCAATTTTCTCTGAACTTCCTGCATATCCTTGTTGAAATGGAAATCCTAGACTGTGCGCAGCTTTCAGCCTACACACAAAAGGGAGCGTGAAAGCCCACAGTTTCATCTCCCTTCCCACATGCCATCCAAGGACTGGTAAGGTGGCAGTAGCATGGTGGAGCCACAGCTTCCCATTCTTGCCACTGGGTATCAGCTTTCCAAAGACGAGAGCAGAAACAACACAAAACGTACAGCACACTCACATCAAGAGCAGCATGGAGTAAACAATTCCTTTTACAGGTCTCAAGGGGACCTAGCAGGGATTTGGGGCTGCCCTCCAGCCCTCCCTCTCCAGTGCTAACCTGGCCCAAGGCACTAGAAGTGCCATGCATGCTTTGCAATTGCATCTCTGTTCCAGGGACAGGGCTGTATGCATGCATCTCTCTCTCACTGACTATGCATCCAGATCTGTCTATAGATCAGAAATTATGTTTATTTATTTCAAATGAGAATTCCAATTATAGCACCAAATTATTCTGAGGGGGTAACAACAAAGATGCTGCTTTCAGTCCAACATGGATTTATTTCAAAGCGATTTCCAACATGCTGCTAAGCAGCAGAAGTTGTAGAATTATACAACACAAGGCGGGCTGCCAACACAGAGCCCTGCTGCAGCTGAGCAGGCAGAAGTTCAACATAAACAAAAATAACTGAAAATGAAAACTGGGGGGAGAGGGAGGGAAGGGGGCTAGACAGACAAACAGGCAAATGCCAATGCTGAGGAAGAAAACCCTAAAAACCACAAAAACATTCTCAGCAAGGAGGGAATATGCCCCCTATTTAAAACACAACACAAAGAAGCATCCCAAAATGGGCTTGTCCCAGCACTGCTAGGGATTGTGAGAGCCAGTAGAATATTTCAGATTCAGCTGCTGCTCAGACGAGCTACTTTACAGGCTTAGAAATTGGCCACACATTTTCAGAAGGTAGGAGCTCAACCATCACTGTGGCTGAAACTGAAGCCCTCCAGAAAGCAGGAGCAGAATTAATAGCATATTTTCTAATTCTTATTAAAAGAACAGCGTTTAGCTCACAGAGCTAATGGCTTAAAAGTTAAGAGAAACTATTTAGTCACCTCTGCAACCTTGACTCTGGCCTCTCAGGTGTCTGTGCCACTCGCTAGGAAAGGCTGCGAAACTGTAATTTCAGAGAGACTTTGGTATGAACTCGTGTGATCCACACCCATGAAGTGGCAAACTGAAGCTGAACAGGCTGGGCTTTGCAGACAATTTACTTGGTTTATTTACTTTGAAAACATCTGCTCTGTTGAAACTGTAGTCAAAGCTAACAAAACAAGTGTTCACCAGAGACTGCTCCTCGATGGGTTCTGTAACCACAGCCCAGGGAGCAGCGCTGGAGGATCAGCTGCTGGAAACTCTACTGGAAACAATGGAGAGATGGACTCTTCAGGCTAACACTGGGACCAAGGGCTGATCTCGGGGCGTCACAAAGTACCGAACTCTTTAATGCTCCCAGGCCAGTAGAATAACTGCTTTGGTAACTGAAAGGCAGTTTTTACTGAGCTGTTATCATTAGTTGCTATTTTGTAGTGTTAAAACATTGTGCCTCAGCAGAAGTTCAATGGAATTTCAGGGAAAAGGCACCTAAAAAGGCACTACTGCAACTGAGGAGCCAGGCTGAGCCCAGGGAGCGCTGGAATGA